TTAAAGCCAAAAATTACTTGTAAGAGAAAGTCAGAAAAGGCCAAACAAACTTAAATATGTTAAAAAATAACTGTATTGATATATAAAATAAAATAAAATGTCTCTAGATGTAATGACTAAAAATAATGCATTTATTAAGACAATGAAAAAATTACATGTTAATTTCACGTGAATAATTTAAGTGTGTAAAGAAATTGAAAAAGGTGAAGAAGCCAACCGAATTTTTAAAGCCAGTCAGATGGTAAAAGCCGTCTTAAAGTTTGGTCTTAAAAAGGACAAGTTCGCAACCTTAAGGAAGTGGATCAAGAAAACTTTGAATAGCGCGCTTTACAAATATTTCCTCTATGCAACGAATTTATAAATATCTATTAAGAAACCATAAATTAAATAATACGAAAATAATTTTTTTGGCATATGCAGGATTTAGAAAGTAAGAAAGGAAAAGTAAAACAAAAGTAGTAGATAAGTAAAGTTGGTTGACTGACTAGGTTAGTGATGAGAGCAAACCATACAAGGGCTATTTGCTTTAGGGCAGATCAGACTTTCTGAGAGAAAAACGTCTCATATTCCGTTACACCATGAAAATTACGAAAAACACTATGCAGGTATTCCACTCAGAAGAAAATAAAGCCGGAACAGAAAACAGTGTTTAGCCATCTTTCCCACTGGGCAGTTGGCTGGCAATGCTTTGCCCAGAGGCACTCTTATTATATTATATGAGTGTATAAATAGGATGACCTGGTAATAGCTACAATGGACTGGCGATGGTTCTTTGCAGTGTAATAACTTGGAGAGACTTTAAGGCGTAGACACAGATAATGACATATCGTAAAAGTAAAAGTCGTGGTGGAAAATAACAAAATACAATTTATTTCTTGAATAACTCTTTTTAGAACGCATATTCTTCTTAACACATAATCTGATTGGCTGACAGCTTACCGCATTGCAGCAGGGTTACATATGCGAACACAAAACGAATTAATTTTGAGAGACGCAGTCCAGTAAAAATTATTATAAGCAGTATTGTAAACAATTTCTATTTTTAGGGCAGAAGGGGGAAATAGCCAAATTAAAATGGGGGATAAAAAGGAATATCGCCAAATTAAAATTAATACTTTTGAGTCACATATTTTATATCTTACAATATATATATATGTAATTGCGTTGATTAAATATTAATAATGTGAATAAATATATTTCCAATAGTTACAAAAGGAAAATAATGTAGTTTTATTAATCGTTGCAAACGGGCATACTCCGCTTTATGTTTAGCTCTGAGTTTCCTATAACATGAATTGATACGTCCGGAATTTTTAGAAGCTTAATGATTAGATTCTATTAGGGTCAATTGTATGAGTCATACTGATCCGAAGTTTGATCTAAAATATGGAATGTGAGACGCTTGACTTCTTTTCACAACTTAGGCATGAAGAGATTTTTTATACGGTTTATTTAATTTGTTTTCTCAGTTAGTTTAAATCAAATTTTTAAAGCAGTTTAGATTTTCATTCCTTTCTATATCTGATTACCTTGGAAATTTTCTCATGTACATATTTGTGATAACAATATAGTATTTCGTTGAAATAATTTCAAAATTAGACTTAAACGGCTAAATGTAGACGTCCACACTAAGGCTTTTGGAATTTTTAGCAAAACCTGACTAATTTGGGCGATTTTCAAATATTGTTCGATGGATAGCTATATATAGCAGGTAACACTGATGGAAATTTCTTTCAAAAGATTTTACCCTTTGTTGATAGCAGCCTCATAATTCTAAGGATTGATGAGATCGGTGTTCTAAATTCAAAGAAATTGATGGATTGAATGTAATCTTTTGCGGAATAAAGAGAATAATTTTCAGCATTCAGACATAATAAATTTTCTTTCTTTATTACTTTTCCGTATCCTACAAAATAAATATATGTCAAAAAATTAATGCACTAAAAAGTAAAAAAAGAATTTATGAGACTAAAATAAGACCGTTGGCCTCCCACGCACGAATTCTATTAGGATATTTACAGAACTTCAGAAAACAACAATACAAGTGACATTATAGAAATGACGTATACAAGAAGACTAAATTCGTTTAAATTTATTTTTGATTAATCGCTCATTCATGATAATGCGATTTTTAGGTTAATTAAAAGAACGCTATTTATGACCAGCGTTTTATATCTAAAATTAAAAGTGCCGGAGCCCTGCAGAAGTCTGTAAAGAACAAAAGGAAACAAATAAATAAAAAAAAAAAAATAATTATTGTAATCAAAGAAATTAACGAAATAAAGAAAAATATAATAAATTATTAAATTAATTTTAAAATAATTTAGTTAAATAAAAGAAATATCGGACCTTGTCTTATTTGGGTCTCCGGCTGGAATTACAATTATTCCACTCAGAAGCTAAGAAGTAGCTCAGCCGATCTCCGTTTTACGTATAATGCATTATTTCAAGGGATGACAGATCCAAAAACTATTCCATTTTTACAGCACACTAATGAAAAACGATGAAACGATTAAAGCTTCGCTAAAGAGAAAATTGACAATTCTAGAGACGGTAAGAGGATATGGAAATTTTAACGGAAAAGTGTAGCTTTGAAAATACAGAGGGAAAAGTTCAAAATTTCCTGATCGCGATGCCCTATCGATGTAACTTTAACTGTCAAGAAAAACTCTACTCTGAATACGATCCAATAACAACGTGAAAATAAATGCAATACTTCTCTACACAAGTGACAGCAGTAGTCCCCCCTCCCCATTTGGCTACATCATTTAAAAAGAGTACAGGAGTTCTGCAGTAGGCAGTCACTAGCGTGGAACGTGCACAAACAGGGTATAACTTTAAGTGTTTTCAGAAGCACAAAACTTACCCTTTGTCATAAATTCATTGCTAATTCTGGAGAATAAGCCTTTGATATATGATTGGGGTTTTTTCTTCCCTTAAAAGTCTCAAACTCTGTGGAAGGTTTGAGCGCAAGGGAAAGAGGAAAGACAGGTCTGCATTCAGAAGTTAGAATCCATTTTTAAAGCATATTTTACTTGTAAAAGGAAGTCTATCTGCTCGAATTGTGGTTCACTTACATGAAAAAAGTGCAGGAGCCCTATTATTTAGGACTGCGCTGAGCTCTTTCTGAAATTATAATTTATCTCGAAAACTGAGTAGTACCGGAGCAGGGCTCCGGCGCAATTTAAGCTCTAACTACATTTTCCATTCAGGGTAATCCTTCAGAAAGGAGTGCAGCTTAAAATTGTGGAGCAACTTGAGATTTCCTGCTGTGGGGAAAGCTACCTAAAATAGAATCATGGTGATAAGAATTTAGAAGCTACTGTGGTTTTCGTGGTAAATTAGGTATTCCAACAAGGGTGTCATATCTTATGCTAAGTATGAAACAAATTTATTGCACAATTGCGCAGAATAGTTTCGAAAGCTTCGAAATCTTATCGTATGAATTTAAAAAATATTTTATATTTATTAATGCACACATTAATACACATAAAATAGAAAACAAACTTATTTTGATAAAACTCAAAGATGAAGTTATACTTTATCTGTTTAAGCCAATAATTTATTTTCCTTTGAAGTAAAATTAAACAAAAAATTCATTTTTATTTACATAGGCCCGAAAATTAATATATTGCTTTTTTTCATTGCGGCGGATAATATAGACTTAACTTCACCATGGAGTTTAGTCTGTTTTTAGAAAAAAAGCGTTTATTAAGGTTAAACAATGATTTGCGGATTATAAAGAACGTGTTTCCATGTGATCAGTAGTTAGCTTTCTTTTAATATTTACAAAGCATATACTTACAAAATATATGCTTGATGTGCGGTGATATGTTATTAGTAAGGGGTTATAAGAGTTAGAACTAAATAAGATGAATTATGAATCATACGTATTAGTTTAAAATAAATTATATTTATTATAATTTAATGAATGTAACATACCAATTAATCTAAATTAATATAATAGTTTCTTAAGATATATATCATACTGTCTCATTTTCCAGTGTCATTTAACTCGACAACAACAGCAATAAAGATGTGAAAACACTGTCGGTAAGTTAACAGCAAGATCAGTTTTATTAAATGGCTTCAGGAAACAGGTTATCCGGGGGACTGAAATTCCGGATAACTGGAATTCTGAGTGCTTCCTTATTATTATGGCCTCTAGAATTTAAATGCCGCTAAATTTTCTGCCCTAGGTAGATGTCTGTTTATTACCGGTTACCATAGAAATGGACTGAATTATTTGTTTAGTGCAAAAAGTTGGTACTTACGTACTAGCGCAACTACCTTGACGTAGTTAGGTGTTTTTTACAGAAGAAAAGGTAATTCTGTGGACTTTCGGACTGTAAATTACAGTGGATATGATTAACTAAAGAAATTTTATGCACGTGGTTTGCCAGAATTTCGCGACTTCTGAAAATTAGCTATTTCTGCTAAGGTGGTTACGATAACACGTAAGTACCAAAAGTTATCTATAGGGTAAAAGGGAAAAAAAGAGGAAAACTGTTATCAGTTAATACGTGATACACATTCATTCGTTGCTGCTCTCTCATCGGACATGTTGATTTGAATAATCACCAAAATATCTCACTTATGGAATGTTTTAATGGCTATTTGGCAACGGTTTACGACACATATTGTTGACTTATTGCTGTAATAACAAAAACAAGGAAGGACAGAATTTCATTGTGTTATAGATGGTATGCAAAATTGCTCTTTAACTCTGTGCTACAAAGCACAGTGCCGAAAAGTATATGAAAATTGATTAAATCTGAAATGTAAATTAATATGTGCAAATTTCAAAATACATATTGGAGTAAACTACATACTGGTTATTTATTCTATAATATGCCCATACAATTAAAAAATAAACTTAAGGACATGTGTAAGATATTTAAGCGAATAACATTTTGTATTCATTGTGTATATTACATTTTTTTTTCATGCTTTCTGCGTAAATAGTTTAACCATTCGTGCTAAAATACTTTTCTTTTAAGTTTGCAAATTATTAAGCTTCGGGATGGCTGGAATCTTTGGACCACAATCTCCAGCATCAGCAGCCCATGTCCAGTCCATTACGGATGCTCTGGAAGTGCCACATATCGAGACACGATGGGATTACAGACACAAAAGGGACCACTTATCTATTAACCTTTATCCACCACCATCGTTGCTTAATCAGGCATATATAGATATTGTGAAAAAATGGGGATGGCAGAGTTTCATAATTATATATGAAGAAAATGAAGGTGGGTATTCATACTTCAATGAAACGACTCTGTTTTAAAAAACTGCTATTATTGCTTTTTAGGTAAAATTTTTGAATTTAACATACTGCGTTTTATACAAACTTAACCGCATGATATTTCGTAACGCTACATATTCCGGAAGGAGATAGTATTCACGCATTATTGTGAAACACTTCTACATAAATCATGCCGAAATAATGTTTATTTTTCCTTTCTTCAAATGAAATATATTATAATGATTTACCCTTATTCCAAATGCTTCCGCATCCTGCTAAAACTTTGTTTAATTTAATACTACAAAATATGAACAGACCATGCAAGGTTATCTTCATGAAGGATTTTTTTTAAGGAAACTGGCTCGCATTTTCATCACACGAGGAAAACCACCGAAACGTCCAAGCAGTCAGTACATTCGTGAGGGTTCTAAACCAGACCGAATTATTAATGTTTGACGGTCTTACCCACTTTGCCAGTGGTAGGATACCTTGAGGAAACATTAAAGACTCCACATATTCAAAATTATTTTTATGCCAAGTCAAAATTATTTCTATACTTGAATATAATTCTTGAATGAATTTAAAAATATTCTTTAACCTTTTCGGTCCTAATGGGCACATTATTGGGTAAATAAAACCCACTTTTAAATGGACTTTTTAAGTTTGCAGTGTTTTTAAGAAATTAGGGAACAAATATATGACTAAAGAAACCTGGCCTATTTTGCCAAATGTGTCAGGTTGCACTTTCTAAAGACTGCTTTACGTTACATGAGACTTAATTTGTACTGTAAGAATAAAATATTCGGTACATTTCATTTAACTTTATTATTTATTTACATGCAGTGTAAGGTTATTATCACATTATCATAGACGATTGGAGCAAATAGTCCCAGGATATTTTTAGGAAACGGGCAAAATTAAAAATTTTAAACTTCTTTTAGTATGTCTATGGGGTTTAAACCGCAGAGCTGGCTTCCGCCCCGGATATATCTGGGTATACTCATACGGAACTGAGTGCCAACTCAGCAGAGAGATACCAGAGAGGACCATCCCACGGTAACACAACTCCGTGGAGACGGCAAATTTAATGTTCTATTTCTGAAAAAAACAAAGGGGATTTCACAACATGGGTACGGTTACGGGACCCTTTAAGAGTTGATAACATTCTATTGTCATACTGCATAAATCAAGTAATAGGAGATTACAACTGAATGTGAAAATACTTACACTGTTGTTGCATTACATATGATTAAGAGATACAAGCGCATAGATTTATATAGAGTTACAAAGTTAATAATAGACATTCATATGATACTGGTATAATTATACATATAGAAATTTAAACAATACATAGAGAAATGCTAGTGGTTGATTACCACCAATAGGGTACAGACAGAAGAGTGTAGGAGCTTTACGAGTATAAATTAGTTGAGAGTTATATACTGCGTGCTGTAGTTCATGTGCTAGTGCACACCTCCATATGAAGATGTTGCATTACAATGTAACTACCAGTTGACAATCAGCAGTAGGTAGCCGTGCGGTAGCTGATGTCTCTAATTAGTAATGTTTGATGAGTCAATGTTGGGGCATAGTCACAGAGATACGATGTGCCCAGACAGTAAATGTCTGCCGGTGTGTAAACACTGAGCCCTAAATGCTTTCAAGTGGACCGCTATGGTCGTTACTGAAAATTTGCACTCCTGTTGCTTGGCTCTGCCCTGTACATTATTACGCATTCATCTATTACAGCCTTGATTGGTCTTGTCTTAGTCTCTTTGTAGTTTGGAACCATTGGGGTCAGTAATTGCCATTAGGCTTTTTGAGCCTGTGCTGGGCTCTGGGTGTGCATGAAAAGAAGAGATGGTCAGGGTCACCTACCTCACATTCGCAGGTATCATTATCTACGAATCCAAAACGAAATTTTTACGTGAGGAATGGGCCGTGTCCCGTTAAATACTACGTCATAAAATAAGTGTGGGACTGTGTATTGATCTTGACTTTTGGGATAAACGTAAAGACCCGACGACCCGTGGTGCCCTGAACCCATCTCTGTTGCCACTGAGACAGTAATTGTTCTTGAGTCTGTCTTTTAATGAAAGAGATCGGCTTTAATGTGCCTTCCTCATAGACGTCAATAGAGCTGGCTGCCTCCAGCATCAGCCAGCTCGTTGCCTGATATACCAGTATGAGCTGGCACCCAGCTGAGACTTAGGGCGTGCTCCTGGTTGAATTGTAAGAGCTGCCGCCAATTTTCTTGAACTAGTGGGATATTTGATCTCTCGTTAGCTATGGCAGCCAGACTGGAGGCCGAGTCAAAGTAGATCTGTGTGGGAGCTCCTTCAACTTCTGTGTTATACTTCAGAGCAGCACTGACGGCCAGCAGTTCTGCTTGATATACGGAGTTGTAGTGCGTCAGTCTCCTTTTCCAAAGATGCAGCACTTCCCCGTCTGAGACGTGGCAGAATGCGCAGTCGGTTCTGCCGATGTCTTAGAACCATCGGTAAAGAGACCGGTAGGCTGTATGTCTTGAGCTGCTGTCGAGATAGAGATATATGTGTCGATATGTATAATATGTGTATGGCGTATTTCTCGCGCCTTCTTAGCATGCCTTCATGGTGTAATGGCTAGTACACTCGGCGCGTATTCGAGAGCTAAGAGGTTCTAGTCTCGGCGAGAGCATTGCTCATTTTTTACGTCTCTCAACATCAAAAGTTCTAATGTCTCTACAGTGGCACCCGAATTAAAAAAAGTGGTGGATGATGATTCTCCACTGCCAGGATTTGGTAAGTGGGTCCCCTAATCCCCAGTCACCCTTTGAAAGGGGGGAATATATATGAGGTATTTCTCCCGCCTTCTTTGCATGCCTTCGTGTTGTAATGGCCAGCACACTCGGCGCGTATTCGAGAGGTCCGAGGTTCAAGTACCGGCGAGGACAGTGCTAATTTTTCACGTCTCTCAGCATCAAAAATCCTAATGTCTTTACATATCTTCATTAAATTAAGCTACTTTTCATAGTTAAATTTTAATCATTCAAAAGTCCGGTCCAAAGGGCTAAATACCCGAATTCGAATATACATATTTTCATCACCCGATTACTTTCAGACAGTGGTTGACCTTTGTGAACCATCGAATTAGTATGGCAAATGAGTGCATTAAAATGCATTTTTATATAGCATTCTTATATCGAGTTAATATAAATGAGATCTTAAAATTGATTTCTTATTAATCTCTTATGATCGAAATTTTTGTTGCCATGAATGAGAAATTAATAATTACATAGAATAATTTTGTAATCATGGATGTAATTTTTATACTGCTTTCGAGTTCATGGTAAGTCTTTTTAACCATCGTTGATAATCAAAGATTTGAATTTAGATTTATTTGATTATGATAAAGCACATGAGACCTAGCTTCCTAGTGGAAGGAATGCCTTTATAAAAGACATTCTGAGTGGATTTCTTTAATTATTACTATTGCTTTAAGCACGCAAAAAGCCAAGCGAATAAAATAATGAATCTGGTTTTCATCTTCTTCCTTTTTATTCCTGAATGTGTGCGAAATAAAATTCTAAAAATAGTAAACATCGTAAACATATTTAATCACTTTAATAAATTATCTCTTTAATGAACTATGCATACAAAAGCTATTAGCGCAATAAACCTTTAAATGAAAGTAGTACATATTTTTTACAAAGCATAGCACCACAAAATTCCCTGACAATTTGCAAATTGTCTTAAGGATATCTCCTCCAAGCATTGTAGCAATATCTTCCTCGAAAACCTAAAACGATCCACCAAGACAATCAGCAGCATGTATCAAACTGTCTTACTCATTTTCATAATGAGCTTTAATTGTAGGCTCCAACACAATGAGCTTTGATTGTAGGCTACAGCACAAGGGAAATCAATACTTCATCATTCTTGTAACCATTCAGGAAGGAATGTTTGTATCAAAAATTAAAAGCAAAAATAAGGGCAACAGCAGTAAAAATCGGAATTTAAAATAAGTCATGCTTTACAATAAACTATGATTACTTTGACATTTTTTTAAAGGATTATATACTGTTTTAAAGAGTACAATATGTTATTCCCAAGTGACAAAAGTATTAAAAAGTTCTACCATTAAAAACTATCTTGCAACTTTGATTACACACATGATTCGCTGAAGTCAAATTAAGTACAGTATTCAGGTATAGTATGCAAATTTTTTGGGCTGTCAAAATTAGAATCAAAACTGGAATTAATTTTTTTTTGAGAAAAATAAAAGTACTTGATTTTCATTGTATTTAGCTAGAGACTGTTTTGTATTTGTTTCAAATACTACATTTTTATAAGTAAGCTAAGAAAACATGTGAAAAAATTTTAAATTCCAGTTTTGATTTTTTATTCACAATATATTATGCGTTATGATAAAAATCGATCTTAATTTTTCGACTATCCATTTCTGCTGCTGTTTTTGCAAGGAATATTTGTAATCTATACTGACGAATAACTGAAATTTTACTATATTTTTATTAATATTTTCGATTGTCTGATTTTATAAAATTTGAGAACATTATATTACAGATAGAGTTTTCATTTTCATAATTGGCATTAAATGAAAGCCACAAATATCTTTAAAGTGTTAAAAATCTGCTGAGACAGTTCAGCCATTTCTTTACGTTAACTCTTTTTACTGAGATCCAGGCATAAAGGATATCTCCTCCACGCATTGCAGCAGTAGCTTCCTCGAAAACCTAAAACGATTCACCAAGACAATCAGCAGCATGTATCAAATTGTTCTTACTCATTTTCATAATGAGCTTTATTGTAGGCTCCAAATGATTTTGGACCCTACAAAGAGAGTGACGTTTCTATCACCTTAACCTTTTTGTTGAAATGTTTCCTTGAAGTCAAGTACTCCAATAAATAGAGAAGTATATTATGAAAAGATCTAAGACGGTGCTCCAGTCTGCTCAAGAACGAACAAACTATTCTAATGCGCATTCTTGGAAACCACAATATTCAGTTTGCAATTTGGGTATGCTATGCTAGTTTACCTTGTGACCTGAAAAGCTTACAAAATTAAATGAATCTTACATCATAGATAATCGGCCTTCCAAAGTAATCCGTTTCATCCGCTTTAGAAAACAACTTTGCTTTTTGCCGAATATCATGCGAATTTCTGAGTCATGTCAGCTAAATTAATTTATTTTGAGAAGGCATAAATTACTTCCATGTTATTCTTTCGCAAGTAACTATTTAAAAAAATATGAAAACAATATCACTTCAAAACTAGTTGTTGCAGAACATATAAACTAATGTTAAAGTTTCCAAGGATTTAATTTCCAATCAGTTCTCTTCTGTGTGAAAATAACAGTGCTTACGAAAATTATACTTTTAGAAGATTATGAAAATATTTTTCCCGTGGCTTTTTTTATTTTGGAGAAAATATTAAACGCATCAAACTGATAATTGCCTTGAATGTAATATAAATTTCGTTTTAAATTTCTTATTTGTTTTTAAAATAATTACTTTTTCCAAGATAATTCTTTTTTAGCTAATTTCATCATAATTCTTAATATATTACAGTTTGTTTCAGGGGTATTTCTATTTACAAATGAAATGTTTGTAAAATGTTTATAATTTTTTTCTGCATTCCTTATATCATTAATTATTAATGAAATTTACAGTACTATTATAAGATGCAATACCATGGTAAATTCTAGTAACAATGGATTTAAAAATTTAGGATTGTAGAAAAAGATTTTATTGACTGAATTGATGTTTTTATATGCGAAAAAGTACTTCTCTTAATATGCTCAAGTAGCAAGCATTTAACATAGTTTCCTTACCAGGCATCATTAGAGTTCAAGACTTTTTGAAACAATCTCCTTCAAACAACTGGAAAATTCAAGTTCATAAATTCCTCCCGGAACAACCGTACAGAAATTTATTTCGACAGATACGTGCATCCTTTGCAAAGTGGCCAGATAAAGATATTTGCATTCTTTTAGACGTGTCCAAAAAACAGCTTTTCAATGTTCTGAAACAGGTAGTGATAAATTTTTCTTTTTGGAATCTATCTGCAAGTATTTAATCTTTTAGTGATCATATATAAACAATGCTATCAAAATGTTATATGAATATAAATAGAATATTTACATCAAGGTTTACTTGAAGTAATAGTTGGAAAAGAATGATTTGCGAAAAGCAACACTTTCGAAGCTTTTTAGGCAACAGAGCAAAACTTATATCGTTTTAAATTTTAATTTTCATTTGTATTAGAACTTTAAAACTATTTGTAAAAACTGAAAATTGGATTATATACATAAAATATCATAACATATAAAAGTTAGATAAACCGAAAATCTGCCAAAATAAAACAAAGGCATTGAAAATTGATATATAAAAATTACCAAGGCAGACGCCTGAAAGTTTAAAACATTGTATGCATAATTTATTGCGTGTTAAAACCATTTTGTTGTAACGATGTCAATAAGACACGAAATCATTTCTGAGAGAATACGTTTCATGCTTTTCTGAAAAACGTTACCTTTTATCCAGAGAAAGAAAGAATCTATAAAAATAACGATGATGATAAAAAATAACAATAACGAAAGATAATGGTACATTAAATGATACGGCTGATACATTAAAATCGTAAGATTTTATTTCGTGAAAATCCCGTTTCCGTTTGATTTATAGAAATTTAAATAAGAAGTACATTTAAAAGAATAAGAGCTGAAACGTTAAATTATAACACATTTTAAATCTAGCCATTCTGAATTTTAATCATTTTTCTTAGTTTGACTTAAAGGGAAGCAATTATCATTAAATGTTATAGAGTAAAATGTAATTTAGAATATTCCAAAACTTCCCTGACGTTATTGTCTTAAAAGTTCTTTCAAAATGCTTTTACATTAGAATAGCACAAAAGCTCATTTTCGTTTGATATACAGGTGTTTATAAAGTCCCGGACCCATTTTGATGTTTAATTACTCATAAAATAATAAAGATAGATTGAAATTAATAACATAAATGGTTAGATAGACTCAAAAAGTTTCATCACTCTTGTCAATGAACTTCCACGTGAGCCCCCTTCGTCGCACGGAGAATATCAAGTCGATATTCAATTTCACGCCAGGTACCGGCAAGCATGTCGGCATCCACAGAGGCTACTGCGGTTGTAATTCTGGCTTTTAGGTCATTAATGTTCGACACTCTCCTTCTGTAAACGTTGCCCTTTACAAATCCCCAAAGGAAAAAGTCCAGCGGCGTTATATCAGGTGATCTGGGTGGCCAAGGAATTGGACCTCCTCGCCCAATCCATCTTCCTGTAAAATGGTTATTCAAAGAACTACGAGTGGCTGAAGATCTTCTAGTTATGGAAATACGAAGTTTTTCAACATGTCTAAGTATACGACTGATGAGACCGTCTTTTCTGTAAAAAAGAAAGGCGCAATGACTCCATCGTGCATTAGTCCACACCACACATTAACCTCTGGGGAATCCCTTTGTGCTTCACAGTATTCATGGGGGTTTCCAGGTCCCCATATGCGCAAATTATGGCAATTAACAATGACAGAAATATGAAAGGATGCTTCGTCGGAGAACATTATGCGCTTCAGAAATTAATAAGCAGACGATATTTACAAAAGTAAAGATATTTAAACCTGAAAAGGAAAATATATAAGTTATTCCATCAATAAATGCCATAAGTTTGTTTATATCTTCATTATTTTATGAGTTATTTAACATTAAAATGGGTCCGGGAATTTATAAACACCTTGTATATCAAAATACACAAAAAGCAAGTTTATAGTTATTTGCACAGAAATATTAAAATAGTAAACAACAGATCAAATTTGACGCTTTGTGCATTCTTTACTTATGCAGTTTTATGTTATGTCTTTAGTTTTATGTTACTAAATTCTAAGTTAAAACATAGCTTTTCGAATAAAATTAAATTGAAAGAATAAATGGTACACAATGTGAGAAATGAAGAACTCGGAATAAATCAAAGTGAGTATTATCTGGACTTTTACTTATATCAAACATATAGCGTCTCACAAAAGTGATGGGACACTTGTGCTTTACAAAATGAAACTGTGGTAAAATAAATTAAAAAAACATGTAAAAATTTTTTGTGGATGTGTTTCATACTTTAATTTAGTAACAATTATTACATAACATAGATTTTCTCAAAATATTAAGATATTAATTAATAAAAATACAATTGTTTAGAACGGAGCAAAAAATGGCTCACATAAGTGATGGGACACTTATGTACTTTTCCATCAAATATTTATCCAAAAATTTTACTTTTTAAAAGGTTTTAATATTTTGTTGGATTTCCTTTTACTTTTAAAACATGATTTAATCTTTTTGGGATGGATTCGACTAATTTTTTTTTTTTTTTTTTTTTTTTGCAATTTCTGGAGTGATTTTACCCCATTCTTCTTGAAGCACCGATTTTAATTGTTGTTTTTTGAAGAAATGGTGTGTTTGCGAATTCTTGATTCCAATTCTTGCCAAATATTCTCTATGGGATTTAAGTCTGGAGATTGTGGTGGTTTTTTTATTATTTCAGGACAGTTATACAGCAGCCAGAGTCTAAAGTTCAAAGCAGTGTGCTTGAGGTCATTGTCCTGGTAGAATTTAAAATCGTTATGAAGGTTCAATTTTCGTGCTGAAGGTTTTAATTTTTGATTTAAAATGTTAATATACTTGTACTGATCCATTATACTGTCAATAAAAACAAGATTACCAATTCCAGCGGACGACATACACCCCCATACCATAACTCCTCCTCCACCATGTTTTTTTCAGTTGGCACCAAGTTCTGTTTGCGAAATTCTTCTCTGGGTTTTCTTCACACCAAGATTCTACCGTCAGAACCAAATACATTAAATTTACTCTCATCAGCAAATACAACTTCATTCCATTAATCAGAATTTTTATTTATGTTGGATTTTGCGAAAGCCACTTTGAGCTTTCTATTCTTTTCACTCACGAAGAATTTTTTCCTGGCTGCTCTACCGTGATATCCAGCAGACCGAATTACTCTTCTAATAGTCTCAGGTTTAACACTTACTCCATATAATGCTTGTAAATCAGCAGCAACTTTAGGAGCACTCATTCTTGGATTTTTTTAATATTTCGAACGATAATTCGCTTTATTCCATTGGATAGCTTTGATGGTCGGCCAGGTCTTCTTTTATCCTGAATCATATGATTCTTTTTATCGTTTAATGATATTGTAAAACTGTTGAATGACTCAAGTTAACTGTTTCAGGAGTTTCTCTAATAGATTTTTCACGTTCAATATGCAAATTAATAACTAATTTTTCGAATTTCAGGCAAAGTTTCTTTTCGTTTAGCATTCATGGCTGCACAGAGCTAAAAAAACAGAAAAAATTCCAAAACAAACTGGAGAGAAATACTGCAGACGATTTTATAAATTATTGCCAATTGCTTTTGAGTAAAAATAAACCCCAAAAAGATATTTTTATTGCTTACTTCAGACGATTTTTGTTGCATAGTACGTAGTGTCCCATCACTTATGTGAGCCATGTTTTGCTCCGTTCTAAACAATTGTATTTTTATTAAATTAATATTTTAATATTTTGAGAAAATGTATGTTATGTAATAATTGTTACTAAATTTAAGTATGAAACTCACCCACAAAAATTTTTTACATGTTTTTTAAATTAATTTTATTACAGTTTCCTTTTGTAAAGCACAAGTGTCCCATCACTTTTGTGAGACACTGTACTTCTTCAAAACTAATTGCAGTTGAAATTAAAGTTTTTATTTCGGACTGACCTTATGATAGTAGATTTGAAATTATCATTTTCAAAAATTTCATATCTTTTATTTTACATTTAAAAATCTTGTTCTTTTGACCAGTTTTAATTTTCTGTCCTGTTTGTTTCTATAGATTAAAAAAAATTATATCTGTATCGAATTTTCAGCAAAATTTTCTACCTTTTCTTGATACATTTTCTTGGAAAACAGATAAATATTCTAATATTATTTTATTAATAGAAAACTGGGGAATTCAAATAATGGAGCACTTTGAATGAAAAAAAAATACTGCAAAGGAGCTGTAAATCAAAAGGTTTTCACAAACGTTTTGGCAAAGAATGTTTCAGAAGTTAATTTTGCAGTGTTGTTACCTAGCCAACTCTATGTACCTTTTCTAAAAATAATAGGTATCTTGTGTCAACTTAATTTGCTTTTAAACTTTAAATTCGTATTTTGAATGCGTAATTTTAAGATGTCCCGTAACCAAAAGTGTAAGGAAATGTATTTCATTTTATTAATTTAAATTATTGTAATCATTACAATATTGAAAAAGACAATTAAAATTAACTTCAAAATTTAGCTAATATTAATATTTAAACAAAGTATATGTGCATATTTTAAGAAAAGAATATAAATAATATGTGGCATCATTCTCGAATGTAAAAAAGTGACATTATTGTCAGTATCCTACAAATAAATTTTCGAGTTTTGTCACTTACATAAAAGCTGAAAAAAATATGTTTTGCATTTAAAACTTGCCAAATTCACTGATTTTTATATTTCAATAAGTTTTAAAGTTAGTTCAGTTAATAAGGTTTTACTGAGGCAATAAAAATAGTTTCAGTCTACATATCACTTCACAAAATAAGAAAATAATCTATGAAGGCAACTTTTCTAAGACAGATAAACTTCGAATGCTTTGCGCAATAAATAACTCTGTTGAATATAACTTAAGAAATGCAAATGTAGTTAATCTAATGATATAGTAGATTCTTTAGACGTTATTAGAATTTAATGTACTAAATAGGGGAAATAACATTAACAGTACTTTTTGCAGTTTCCTTTTAGATTAGACTTTCGCAAATAGTTACGTTTCTTCGATGTGATTAAAAAATTCATATTTTTTCTCTTATATTCCCATAGGCCCAGCAGGTGGAAATGATGACAGTAAGAAACAAATATATTTTGACGTCTTTGGTGAGTGAAATTAAAATCACTTATCAATAAGTTCAAAAAACTGATTGTAAAATACAGTGCCCATTTTAATTACCAATTTAAAAATTATTCATTTTCAGTAATGCATTTATAAATATGTTTTACATTTAACAATAATGAATAAGAATATAGCACGTCAAATCTACCATAATATTTTTGAATGAAATAGCTTGAATTGAAATAGCTTGAATGAAATTGACAATAGTTTCATCACATGAACGACGGAAGAGAAAGTATTTTCTCCATTTTGGAGCAGCGTATAAACAACGTTCAGCAGGACTACCCGCGGCATCTCCGTTCCTCCTTTACCTTCCTTTTCCTCGTCATCCGTGAGCAGAAGGGCCGTCGTTAAAAAATAGTATTTCATAACAACGTAACACGATCAAAAGACATAATATTCCATTAAAATCTATATCATTTATTTCTATAAATACTCTTATTTAATATTCGTAACGTTGTTGTATCATAAAGAAATAGCTTGATTGCGACCCGGAAAGAAAAATTATTTAAAAGAATTTTTATTTTATGAAATGCCTTAAATATTGTGTCCAGTCGAGTCCAGCTCATATCCTGGATATAACGAACGAACCGTTTGGCCTCATCTGAAAGTATAAAATTGGATACAACTAGCTGTACGGATATTTTCAATCACAATTTTTTTATACTTTTTCCAGAATTTCTCCAAGTTTTAACGAAACAATTACAGACACTAAAAATCTTGCACGCTTAGGATGTCAAGATTCGCATTCCATTTGTAAAGGAAAACACTTTTACTTTTGTCTTATTTTCACTTCACTTTTCTGTGTGCTTTATTGAAAGCCTCTGCAAAACAGTCGTGAACTCAATTCTAAGAGAACGAGGTCACAATAAGCATATCTTAACATATGGTGTCTGTGATGGATTCTCTGGTTCCGTTAAAACTTCCATATTAACTGAGATGTCAGACAGAAAGCTATTCAAGGCTGATGCTATGATGGAAATTTTAAAATTCTGGTATTCATGGAAAGGGGAAGAATTGAATTTTAAACGTTTGGGGCTGTACAGTTGATTTATCTTTTAATGGATGAAATTTTGATCCTTATGTGTATGTTTAGTTTGAGTATAAATACTCTTCGCGTTCTGTCCTCTGAACGGGAAGTTTGCGTTATTTAGATTTTTTTCGCAAGACACAGAATATTCTTTCACTGCTGCTTTCATGGTTTCCGATTTGCATCCATACATATCTTGGGGAAAAATACTGTGTTCTCAGTGGACATTAGGTAAAATTTATTACTGGTGAAATATTATCCGGCAAGTTGTGAACGTAGAGCGTTCTGCATCGAAGAAAAGGCGAACATTATTCGAGAAATACAAAACGCATGCAGCCCAATCAGGGCCTGTCTGGAATGCAGTTTATCTAATTTTAAGTTTTGTGTCGTATGCAAAAATTGAGTCTTGATAATTTCTGTTCATGGATAAGATTGACAAAAGACAGCTGACAGAAAATTAACTCCCTACCATAGATGATACCAAAACTACGTTTCATTTCATTAATAAGTTTTTATTCACTCTCATTCAGAACAGAAAGCAAGGGACACTTTTCAATTTTTGGATAAAAATACTAATAAAATTTCCCTAAAAATTACATATTATTTTTGTACTCAGTAGTTAAAAGTTAAAGGTAAAAATAAATTCGCGGACTTGATCTAATATTGCTCTCAGAAAAATTAGATAAGCCATAGCATATATATTCATAATAATAAAATATACTTGATGCTTAATGTTTTTCGCCTTCTGCAGAAATAATTTTTCGCGTTTCATAGTCACATATTATTCAGGTAGATCAATCTCTTCTTTCATTTTACACAAACTATTCAGAATTGAAAATTCCCTTGATGAAATTAAGAACAAATCATCAGTGAAAACGTTATACTAGTATACATGTCTCCAGGTCGTGAAGTTTTTGTAACAAGGATAGACAGAAGATAGTCCCTAAAGGCAAAAATCCCAATTTAGAGCCCGAAAGATTGCGTTTCTATTTAACCTAATAAATTCTCAATGCCCAGCGTTGCTAAAAAGCAAGGGAGGTATTTGTGTTTATTCTTCATATATTTATTAACATATCAGCTTTCACTTCTATTGATTTCATTGTTTAAGATGATTCGATCGACTTGGGAACAACGATAATGTCAAAAGCTAATGCATGCATTAGAAATCATTACATCGAATTTTGAATCTTAATTCTTTTTCGAGATAACAACGTGATTAAGTATATATTTAGCAAATACCACCAAAAATCCTGATAAGCAAATAAAGGATAAAAAATTACGTAATGGAAAGAAATCCATTAAATTCGTATTTAATGGATTTATTGAAACGCGAAATTTATTTATTTTAAGTTCAATAGTAAAATAGCTAAGTGCCTACGTTTCATGACGATGTGAAAATGGAGTGTGTAGAGTAAAATCTCGCTTTCCAATAACCCATTATGTCTCAAAATGACGCGATTTCTTCACAAAACATAAAATAAAAAAATTATAATTTCGAAAAAATCGCTTCGAGGTCTCAATTCGCATCTCTTGCCTAGATGCACCTATGTACCAAATTTCGCAGCCGTGGGTCTATTAGCTTAACCCATATTTAACCATATTAGCTCACGAAAGACGCACACACTGACACAGACAGACTCTTTCTTTTATTATATGTAGAGATTATTATTTTATTTTATTATTTATTTATAAGAATATTTTCATTATTATATATTTATTTCTTCTTCATTAATCTTTCTTGACATGGGTGAGAACGGTATTTATCACTAATACAATAAAAAATAAAGAAACCTATTTTCCATATAATGGCATTTTGATAGAAAGTTCCATAAAGGTATGAAAGAAAGAATGATGACTTAAAAATCAACGAATCCGAAGACCAGAATCATAAGAAAATAGATTTTCATGATAGATAAATTGAATAAAGGATAGTTTATTTGATCTGAAAATAAACAAATTAAATATAATGAACGGAGGAATTTCTTATTTTGATTTTTAATGCTCAAGAAATAATTTGCATTTATGATTTGTTTTGTGCTTCTTAAGTACTCTCTCTATACATTGAATGACTCACGCACGTACTATTTCCGGGCTAAATACATTTGTTAGAAGAATGCATATATTTAAGAGAATGCAAATTTAACAAATTAATTTATTTATATAAATTATATTTTATGCTTTATTAATTTCTGCTAAGAGTTTTATTGCTATGGAGAATTGGAATAGTGTATATGCAGTATAAATACAGAAAATCAATTTTATTCTGCCAAATGTAATGGCAGGTTTATGCAAACGTATAGTTAAATGGATTTAAAACGTATAGTTTGTAATTTTTGTTTGCGCCTTACTTAATGTACACAAACATGAATCTGCAAAAATATTAAGAAAAATCAAAATCCTGTTGCTTTGTGATTATTATTATTTTGAAAGCCTAAAGCATGTGCTTATATGACTGATGCCATATTTCCATTGCAGAATTAAATGAAATAAAAAATAACAAATAGATTTGAGTTGAATTATTAACTGTTTTAGATCGAGTACGGAAAAATAATATTTTTTTTAATTACATTAAATGTTAAGTTTTAACCGAACAAATGATGTGATTTCGTAATGCATAAGAAATCTTAATCTTAAGGCTTTCTAGCATTTGTCAAAACCTACTCACTACAGCATGACCATTTTGATCTCTTAACTTCTTTTATATTTCAACTTAATATCAAAGCAAATTTTTAAGTTTGACATTAGAAATATCTGTTAATTATACTTCTCCCTTTCTGCATTCTGTTAAGTTACATTTCGCTACCAGAATATTTATTAACTGCGTGGCCTGGCAAGTGGTGTCCTTAAACAAAGAATACATTTTAAATTTATTCATACCTGCCAAAATAATATTTCTCAGAGAGGTTCTTGCTCAACATCTTAAATTTATCGTTAGATCTCTCACTTTTCATTCAAATGAATACTAAATGTTACTTAACTAAATTATTTTAAAGTAACATGAACACTTCTTAATAATTTATATTTTATTGCCCAAAAATAATAGCTGAAGAGAAAATCTTGGAGATACTTAAGCAACAAGAATCAGCGTAAGTTGCATAAATTTCCAGGACTGCTTTCGAAGGTTTGAGCAGAATATTTTTCTTAAGCTGCAGGAGTAAAATGACGAAGGAGAAGCTGTGGGCGCTATCTGTTGACAGAAAGGGAAAACAACTATGAAATAGTTTTCTTAAAAGCTGAAGGTAAAGATGGATTAGAATTGGCCTTGTTTCTATCCTTAACTGGAACATTCTCTAAGTTTCTGGTCTATTCTATAACTTGAGCGCAGACATTTCCTTCGTCATTTCATTCCTGCAGCTAAAGAAAAGTTCAGTTTAAACCTTCGAAGATAGTTTTACAAAATATATGCAACTTACCCCGATTCGTGTTGCTTCAGTAGCTCCAACAATTCATACCTTTTGTTTTTAACAGTTCCTGTAACTAATGTAATTTTTTAATAAATCTATTTTATTTACTCGCATATTTTTGCATCTTGCATATCTTTCCAACTTTATCAGCATGTGATTTAGAAACATTGATTTATGATATATTAAATACAGACCTAGACATGGTGCAAATAAAAATAATTCTATTAAAAGTAAAACTATAACTGATGTACAGAGTACAAATATACTAATACATCTAATAGTACATGCCTTCTAATCCACTAAGTTTTCCGTTTGACTTTCTGCTAAATACTGTGTATACATCATATAGTATTCCTCTTTCGATTTTCAAAAGGTAAATTTAATAAAAAAGGCAAAAGGGGGAATAACGAGTTTTTAACTGAGCAAAAGAACAATACTATAGTATTTCCAAATTTATTAAAGTTACTATATTGCTATATACTATTACGTTTATTTTATGTTCACCATTTATAGAAATTTAAAAAGAGTGAAATAAAATGCATGTATTCTATATACTTTTTTTTTTGTCAGGATCTCCATACTCTTGACTTAGAGGACTTTCAGTACAGCAGAGCCAACATAACAGGATTTAAAATTGTGAATACTGAAAGTGAGGTATATGAAGCACTTCTCTACGAAACGAAAGATAGAATGAGATCAGTCGGAATTAGCAATTTAAAGGCAATTTCTGTATGTATAAATTTTCAGTTGCATTTCATTTATTTCAACGTTTAATCGCATTTACATATCCTTGTTTTTTTAATTGCCACATTTTGATTCTTATGCTTTTATATGTCTTTAGGAATATAGACTGAAAATTTGTATATTTACAGAATTTTATAGTTTTCCAGAATATAAATGTTTTAATCAGTACAACCAATTTATTAATTAATCTTTACAATGAAAGCAAATGATTTTGAAAAATTATTTAACAAACTTATTTGTTAAGAAAGGCCCACTGATCCAAACATATTTATTCGACTTCTATCACAATAGAATTTTTTTAATAATAGAAATTAATTTCTATTACAAACTTCTGCTTTCTTGCAAATTGAAAATAATTATATATTTTTAATGTTTCACTTTAAACTACTCTTGATATGCTTCTCGGCTTCAGTTTATTATACTGCTTTACGAGGGAAAAAAATTCACATAGCTCTTTCAAAAATTATTTTGGCAAATTTTGGCAATTATTTTAGCAATTCAAAATTTCATTTTGGCAAAGACTTAATTTTCAGGTTTTTTGAAATTAATTCTTAAAAGTTATCAAACTTATTAAAAATATACTATAAAAAATTGAGGCATTCCTTACATGTAAATTCGTGATATAATGAGCACTACACCAATCCGGTAATTCGGAAGTTTCAAGTTCAGCAACGGACAAAAGCGGGAATATTTCAATGATTTTCACTTCCCCAAATTCTCGTAACTTAAGAATGCCAACTGCAGCTGATGGTAGATGAAAAGTTCCATTAAAATTTATATCAGGACCCGCTATAACTATAAGGTACTTCTTCCGCCTTTTGGCATGCCTTCGTGGTGTGGTGGTCTGCACGTTGGGCGCGTATTCCAGAGGTCCGTGGTTCGATTCCCGGAGAAGGCGTTGCATATTTTTCATCTTGCTTGCTTCCAAAAAATATCTAATCTCTCTACAGTGGCGCCCGGACAAAAAGGGTGCTGGATGATGAATCTCCACCTCAGAGTGCAATGGGGCCCTAAATACCCGTCGCCTTAAAAGGGGAGTATAAGGTATTCTCCGATTCTTGGCATGCCTTGTGGTATGGGGTCTGCTCGCTGGGCGCGTATTCCAAGTCGCGGTTCGATCCGGGCGAGGCGTTGAAATTTTTCATCTTCCTGTTCCAAGACATAATGTCTCTAATCCAACATCGCTCATGTGTATTTTTTGTGTAGGTTTCTCAAAATTATTATATAAAATTAAAATTCTTTATGTAAGTAAATAAATTTATATTACACTGAAATATTTGGAAAAGTTCGGTTCTATAGTAACAAATATTTTACTAGCTACGTAAAATCATATTTCTAGAGTAAAATTGTAAAAAATTACTAATTAAAAAAACCTCTTGTTTTGCTAAATATTAGCATAAACATACCGATTTCTGAAGTTTTAGATTGCGATACAGTTTCGATAATACATTCAACCATTCAAAACACAACTTCACCTTCTATTGGTATAGTCCATATTATTTGACAGATTTTTATAACATTATAGATCAATATTGAAACATTAGATTTCTGAAAACATTAGAGAGTTTACTAAATTAAAATGGGACACTTTTGTTTTTGGTGGTGATTAAAGTAAGTAATTCTCGAATAGTTTAAGAGTTTAAAAATTCAAAAACTTCAAACAAACATATCTAAGACTTTTAGATCTTAAAAATCTTGAAAAAATTTTGAGATGACTAATTTTAGTATTGGTTTTTTTTTTTTTTTTTTTTTAAAATGAAATTGGAAAATCATCATGTAAAGATACTTATATTTTGCGTATAGTTTTTATACAAGGTTTAGAGAGGTGTTTAAACTTATTAGTTAATATTAAACTTATATAATATCATTTAAATTTTAGAATAAAATATTTCTTTCATTGAAACTTTAATTGTTAAATAGAGCATTTCCGCAGACAAGGAAATTTTCTGCTTTGAAAATTTTCAAAGCTGCCAGAAAAAAAGTGACTGGCATTACCAATTACAAAAACATATTATCAATATTTTATGGTAATCATGTCTGTTTGATTATTCATTGGAAATCTTTCAAATTTTGTAATTCAAAATTTAATGGTAAAACATTGTTCCAATGCTGTAATAAATACAAGTCCTCCTACAAAGGAATACTCAGACATAAAGTAGGAGAACGCGAGTAAGAACACTAAGGTATTTTCACTGAAATTTCACTGACATTTGTAATGGGTTCCTCACAGGATTTCAATTTTTTCGTATCTACGCTTAAATAGTTCTAGAGGAATATCCGGAAACACATAGAATACTTTAACATTTCTTGTTACAAAGTAACTTTTAAAACTACATTTAATTAATTTATATGTGAGAAATATTTGATATTATTTGATGACGTTGTTGAAATGTTTTATTACTTTTTCATAGTTTTCCTTTGAGCAATTTAATGTATATTTAAACATTGTGTTTTAAAATTGTTCTTTCGAATTTTTGTGCACTGAAAATTTGCCTAAAATAGCGCAAAATAATATGTAAAAGTCTACATAGAAAATGTAGGGATTTCAGTGAAGAAGTTAGGCTTTTTTAAGTATTGAATATAAAAATCAATAAAAATTATAAAAAACGAAAGAAAATTAAAAGCAGAGGCAATAGCAAACAGTTTTATTCAAGGATGAGGAAAATGTATTGTTTGCAATGCATTGTTTAGTGCTGCATTAAAAACTCATTTTTTGTGCTTCTGTTCTTAAAAAGTAATGAAATAAACATTCTGGGATACTTATCGTTGCCAATACGCAACTTTATTTCAGGTTTACAATATTCAAAATGTCGCCGCTAAGCTATCGAAAATATCAAATTAACTGAGGATTTAAGTTCAAACATAAATCTTATAAACATGTTTGATAAGCATAATAAATTTGAAAACAACTTAATCTGAGTTTCTATGCAGTTATCATGAAGAAATTAGTAAGATTTATTCTATAACACACGATTGTGATAAATGATTATCGTTTCATGAAAATAACAATTTGTCTTAAACATGCCTTGGTATATGTTTTGTTAAGTACTAAGGTACCCTCTTTTCTTCGTTCTGAAAATTTGCATATTAGTTTACATGCTATAATGTTCCAACCTAGAATTTACAGCTAAATCCGTGGAACCTTAAGAACTGGTAAGCGAATAATCGCTTAGTTCAGAGAGATTGAAACGTAACGTACGAAGGGTCAATTACCCTTTATTATTCAAATTAAAGTTAACAGACGACTCCTTCTTGGAGTTACAATGAAGCCTCCACTTGGGTTTGAACTCAGGAATACTAAGAAATAAAACTACTAAAAGTATATAGCCGAAGCTATCAAGATTCTACAAGAGTTGGTCTCTTAAGCGAACTAAAGGTGAAGCTATCAGGCTAAGCACGCCGACTTTAGAGAGAGAGTAGCCTAAAAGCATGCGCGCTTGTCAAAATCTCGGCTCTCTACGAAGTCAGTAGAACTTTAGGTAAGTCTTTCTTTCCTCATTCCACTACCGAGATTTGAAACACGTCTGCAGGAAATTGTAAGCTGAAATTAGGAGTGATAGGATAGTGGCTTTAACTAAAAGTAATTGTTAGCAACTTAGGATAAACCTTACAATGCAATAAGATCTGTTTGCAATCCTAAAGGTTCTTGGTATTAGTTCAACAGATATAATGGTAATTTGAGTTATTATGAACCCAGCTGAGCTTATTAAGCAGATATTAGATTTAACACTAAGCAATAAATTTCATGTGGAGGGAAATACATCACTTATTTATTATGAAAAATCTTCTGCCGAAAACGCAGGAGTAAATATTAATATGAAATGGACAGTTAATTTAGAATATTAATATTTGGCAAAGCATTTAAACTCAGCCTGCGCAAAATTCAATGGTCATCTTCATGAAAAACATTCCTAAAGGAAATTAGCTCAATTTTACGTTATGTTAAAGGAAAGCTACCAAAATTCTGGTAATTTAGTTATAAATAGCTAGCTATATGTGACTGCGATTAGCCTTTTACTCAGTAAGTAAGTTATAATAGATTTTGAAACTGAAATGATATGCATGTTTGAAGCTAAGGAAAAGAACAGAATTTTCCTTTATGAGCAGATATATTATAAATATTTTTAAAATTTGAATAAATTCAGTCATCAAAATAATTAAATTGAAAAATATAATGAGAGCTATGAAATTCTTATTTTCTCTTCTAGAAGAAAAGTCCCCTTCTAGAAATATTATAGAGAACAAGACACGAATCAGTCTTGTTCTCTATAATATGAGAATAATCTTCATAAAGTTTATTCATATCCCATTGCGTATACAAAAGAAATTATTTCACACTAAAGTATGCGTTTTATAATTCCTCACAGTTGTTTCAGAAAAATATTATCTGCTAGTTATAAAATTTTGCTTTTAACTTCGTTTTGCGTTTGTCATTTAAATTTTAATCAAAAGTGAGTTGCATCTGTTTTAGCAGCGCATATAAAGGTTTTTGTTCCGAAAGAAGAGATGCCTCCATGGAGGATTTAGAAAGCGAAACTGGCTCATATTTACTTTATGAAAATCGCGGAAGTCACGACAGTCCGTTCTCACGACTTATTAATGTTCCCCTACTATTGTTTTCTTGTACTCTTGACACTACGTTGCGAAGTAACAATAGCAAAATTTTTCTCATCCACACACGTTTCAATTTTGCATTTTGTATTATAGTTCTAACATCAGTTTAGCGTAGTAACTGCTGTAAACCCATTTTCAGACGTCTTCGGCGATGCTGTATGATGCTGTAAGGTTATTTACTTTTGCGCTTGACGATTTCAACAACGGGAAAAGAGTTGAAGAATTTCCTCCCATGTCATGCGATCATATTACGAAAGGTACTGATGGTACGAGCCTTATTAACTACATGAAATCGGTATGATCATTTCAACTTTAATATCTGTTAATTATAATTATCTTTTGGTGTAAATTATAAGCATTTTCTGAATTATCTATTAGGGAATGCATTACATTTATTTAATGCAAAATAACTTTATTAAAACATTAAAGCACTCATAACTGAATTTTTTTAACTTGGATTTTTATTAAGTTAAATGCTATTGGAAGTAGAAAATTTACAGAGGAATGTGATTTTTACAATACATACTTCTGTGAGTTCTTGTCGCTCATTAGAAGAATCGAGAGAGAACCATATATTTTATGATTCTTGTTCGACTTTGTTCAGCTTAAATCTCACTGTTTAAACTGCCAAATATCTCATCATTATCACATGATTATTGCCTGCCAGCTCATGTGAGTTTTTTAAAGAAACTTGCGGTTCGTATATTTTGATATAGGGAATCAGATGATCTACATTATAAATTAATATTTAAATTCAAAATGAAATCATCCTTTCAGAACATCATGGGAAAAAAACTGAAATTTCCTCTCATTATCATCCTGTATGTCACCTTTTTGTTCAAAATAAATGTTCTTATACGTTTTTTTCAACTAATCTGTTCTCAGTTTTTATGATTCTGTGTCAAAGGTTATCAGCCCTTTTCATGGCCTTCTCAGCCAAGATTTATTTCAACGGCCTTCCATAATAGCAAAGGAAAAATGCTATTTATTAGCTAATAAAAGAAAAAAATATTTTACTACTTAGAATGTCTATGAGTAGCAGTTCTAAAAACCACAGGTTTTTCCAAAAAGAGCATAGCTTCACATTCATTCCGAGTTTAAGAAATGAATCAAATAAGATAAGATAGTAACTATCTGGTAGTTTATACTAAAGAAAAATGTGACTTAAATGTTTATACGATTCTTTTTTGCGAAACAAAATCATCTATAAAAGTATTTTACACAGCTAAACTGAGCAAACAAACAGCAAAATGTCAGCCGTCGTTGTATTAAAATTATGTGAAATATCATTAAGAATCGCATACAAGTATTGGAAATAAGCGCATTAAATTTTCAAAAGCGAATATCTAAAAGCAACCTTTTATCTCGAGGAACATTAATTCTGAAGCTTTGATTAAAATTATCATTTCTTGATAATGCTAAATTGCTAAAAAAGTTCAACGGTTTTAAGATTTCTAAATCTCAGTTAATTTAATGTGATGAAAACTGCTAAAAACCATATAACCAACAGCTGTTTTCAGTGCAAAGTTTTCATATTATACGCTTTTTTCACTACACAAACAAGTCAGCCAAGTAGATGGCTGCTCATCTCAAGCTAAACAATTGTACAGGATGGTCTGTACAACGTTTTTCTAAATTATAGATTCTTTTGCATTTAAACCTGATATGCATTTTATAGAAGATGTAAAAAAGGACTGACATAAAGTGTTAATTGAAATAAAGGTTATAACTATATTTATGAAGTTTAAAAATAAATTGTTATTCCTTGTTTAATGATTTGTTAAATGTTTGTTTGATAGCTAAAGTTTCATCAGTGATAGATAAATCTAATTAATTGTAACTTCATCAAGTTGAGGATAGAAACTTAGTGCTTAGGATAGTAAGATAGACACATGGTTAAGGCCGGATTCAATAAGGAAACAGTAACTTGCAATTTTCTCCTAGTCTATAGGACTGAATATTTTTTAAGAATGATTATTTTCATGTTTAGTATTAGTTTCCATACTATTATTCCGTGTTGTTATTTTCTCATATTGCTCATATTATCTATTTCGTCACTCTGTAACTCGTTGAAGATTCATTGCTTTACAACAATCTCTACATCAAGCTGCAGTGTCTGCGTTTTTGGTATTTTCGCTTCAGTATGTTTCTGAACTGAACATGTCTGTCTTACAAATTTTTCAAATGCTTTTATATCAAATCTGAATTTGCTACTATTTTATATCACATCTGAAAACTGCACTAACGCATAATATCCTGTATTAGTCTGAAAAAAGCTCGAGTTTTGCAAGGAAAGCTTGTAAAAATTTCTTTACGAGATCTAAATTCAAAGTATTCATTTAGTAACAATTTATTTAGCAAACTTAATATTTCAAATGTATCTGTAAAGTATATCGCTTCTCATTTCAATCAACAGTTTCTTGAGCTGCCTGTTACACAAAAATTAAGCTAGCAAGACTCAAAAGTGCTACAAAGGGGCAGGACAATCATCGCACCTCGCGCACCAACTGGGGTGACAAACCATAGCTAGAATACCGCTGTATTATAAGAAGTTCAAACTGTTCCTCATTTCTGATCCCAAATGCGTAAAATTATAGGATAGTCTTAAAATTATTTAATACACCAGCTTTTATGTCCTTTCAAATGTTTCAAACATTGCATGCATGTAAAATACCTCGTATAAAAATAATAGGGACATAAAATGAATAACCAGGGAAATCAAAATGAAATAGCAACGAAATACGACATCAGATTTCAAGTTATATTATTATTGAAACTATTTTATGTCATTAATGCTTTTTGAAGTGAACTGCATATGCTACGGTTTCCGTAACTTTCTCTTACCCTCTATTTTGATTTCCGAGTAAATTTTAGGAACTTTATTGTTGTTAAGATCAAATAAATGAGAGTCTGAAGCAGTGGAACTGATAGCCTGTTTATCATTAATATCTCCAATATTAATAACTCTCGTCGTTATTTACAGAAGTGGCTTAGAGGTTTGACGGGTCGTGTACGTTTTGACGGTCAAGGATTTCGATCGACTTTTGATCTTGACGTAATGCAGCTAACTACAAAGGGACTAAAAAAGGTATTTGAAAATTTAACTTTTAATTTGGAGATGTATTAGGTCGTATTTGTGAGTATATGAAATTGCATATCTTGAATTTATTTTGTTTCTCTCAGATTGGTTATGTGCTTCCTGGACGTGATGTAAATATCACAGATGTGTTTGAAATTGAAGATATTTCAGAGAATCAATTTGAACATAAGAAGTACATTATTACAACTATTCTGGTAAGTCGCGCTATTTCATAGTTAAAGATATTATACAATCGGCGTTATAAATTAAAATTTCATAATAACTATAATAAGAAGTTACAGGGACTTTCAGATTCTACACACATGGAAGCATATTAGAAGTACTTAATCTTCTGAAATGTTTAAAAATTACTTATTTGCATCAAGCTTTCAGAACACATTAAGAACAAGCAGGGATAATAATATTAAGACCGATCAGAGTTAAAACAGTATCTGGGGGATAATCCTTGTATTGTTAGTTGAGGAGGGTTTGATAGAGAAAGGACAGTTGTGCCACTTAATGACTTAATTTCAGTATTTCATTAAAGAGCGTTTTTCTTGATAGAAAGCAGAAAAAAATAAATTCTTATGAAAATTATTTTTCATGCTCAGTTTGGTTTTTAATTAAAAAACATATATTTCAATCAGAACATTAAAACAATTCTACAACGCTTTGTTGCTTTGTTCTTGGAAGTTAATTTCATTCTTCAAAGCAATCCTTATTTTGAGTACCTGGAATTTATTACATAATCTAATGTTTTAGAGGAAAGAAAACGCTTGCTTGCTTTAAGAATTATTTATATACTTGGCAGTGTTATACTAAACTGTAGTACAGATTGATGAATGAGGTGCAGAAAATGAAGTACAGTAAATTGTAGTAATCTATACCTACTTGCCAAATTTAGTTTAAGACTGAGGAAGATGCATCAGACTAATACTATTGAATATATCCGTATGTACTAAAACATGGATGCTAGAAACTGGACACATACAAGTTAATTAGAGATGAATGGTTCTCAAATTGTGAGTTTGATCAATAGTTTTCAAACAGAAGTTCAAACAGCATGATTACTGGATCTTAGACAAAAGCAAATTAATAGCCGTATGGGAACATATCTAAGAGGTGTGCGAGCAATTCTAAAGAAAAGATATATATTTTTTAATTTTAATAGAAAGGAGAAAATGCTCTCTTTAAAATTCTATCAAGTTTATGACGTCTTTCTCAGCAATGACCAAATATGAAGAATTGGCTTTTCTAGTTTTTCAATCATGATCCCTTTGACACTGAACCCTCATGTGCACTGCCATAATCAGTTCACCAGTCTTCATCTATACTGTAACTAAAACATAAGTTCTAATAAAAGGCTAAATTTCAAGCTGGATCTTGAAAATTTCAATAGACCACTTGGAAATTTCAATAGATAACGAAATGTAAGGCAACTATATATCACGTCACGCAGACACTTTCTCCCATAGGAAAACTCGGAGGAGTTACAATCTCTCAAATTCAGGACATTGACTTTAAAGTAATAACTAGCAGAACTTGTATCGGATTTAATTATTGCTGTCATTCAGTCATAAAGGGCAAAATAAGTTTTACTGTCTGCTTTGTATTTACGATGGATATTTAAAAACAAAATGCATAAAATACTCATATTTTTGTGGATGTTTTAAAATAAAATTATATTTCTTATTTTCTTCAATGAGGTGATCATGACCATAATCAATGAAGGGGTAATATTAAGAAAGTAAATTAATTAAACGAAATTATTGAGACACTATTAGTACAAATGCCTTTGGTAATACACTAACAACTTCCAAAGGGTAGTCACAGGTAATTATGTAATTATTTTAAATCTTCCTGTAGAAATTTTATTTTGGGGTTATACTAGATATTTGGCATGACTAATGAGTACAATCTACAAAAGGATTCTAAGCTCTATACAGGGTGGGTTCAGAAATATTTGTCAAAAATATAAGGGCAGGTAGAAGGGGTCGAAATAAGTATTTATAATGAAATGTGTATACGGAAATGGAGAGTCGAAGTGATACAGAGCGCAGGTGAGTGATAGATAAAAGCATAATTTTTGGCATAATTCATCATTCGAATAGAATTTAAACGAGGTACATGGAACGATTCATGAGTACCTCCTTTGAGATGATGCTCCGTTTCCTACTGACATAATGCATGGAGATGAATTTCGCGTTCATGTAACGATGGATGCTGCTGAAATTCCACATTAGGAATGGCGATTCAGGCGAGCGGAACCACTTTATCTCCCTCTCAACAATGCTCTGTATCACTTCAACTTGCCATTTCTCTAAGCACATTCTATTACAAGCACATTCTATTATATTATTAAGCACATATACTCTAAACACATTTTATTATATTAATTAAGCACATTCTATTACAAAGCCTACATATCTTGATCCTCCTCTACCTAATTTTATTTTTTTGCCAGATCGTATTAGAATCTATTCAGCAACATATATTGCATGCTATAGTTTACAAAAGGCAACACAGAATAAAAAAAAAACAAATTCATCATACAAAATCTGACACTAAAGTGGAAATTTAGATGTACAGTATTTGTACGCAAATCATAATTTTGCAGTACATAAATGAACCTCTACCTAAACTATGAAAATTTAGGCTATAAAATTTTAATTATGTTCGAAACTTTATTATGTGAGGTATCCAGAAAAGGATTTTCAAGTTTTAATAATTATGTTGTGCTGTTGAAGCACCCATACCGGTAATATGGGACCATTGCTTATTTAAATAACCTAGCGCAACTTGTTTGGGACAAAAGAGCTCTGAATGTAACTTTTCCAAACTTAATGCTTGATGATATCATAGCAAAAACTTAACTGCTTGGTGTCATCAGTTTGTAATTTTTTTTACCCATTCTTTATTTTGTATATTTCTAAAAATGAAGGCAGTACTTTCAAAATAAAGTAAGTTCGTTAAGACAATTTTAAAGCGTTCTTTGGTTTAATGGCAGATGAAAATTTAATAGTCGTGCATCATTTATAATATAAATGGTTGCTCAAAATGAATTTAAATACATTACAGTTTGATTTATGTATGTTATGATTAAAAGATAATATGGAGGCTTACATTCAAATGAATCATTTTTGAACTTACATTTACAGAACAAACCCTTTGCTATGCTAAGAAATTCACCTAGGCAACTGAGTGGAAATGATCGCTATGAAGGTTTTACCATTGACTTCATTGAGGAGCTATCCAAGCAGTTGCACTTCTCTTATGAAATCCGCGAAGTTGCAGACAAAAAATACGGTGTGGAAGTCGACAAGCAAAAAGGAATTTGGAATGGAATGATTGGCGAAGTTCTTCAAGGGGTAAGAAAAGGTTGTTTTAATTTTCGTCTATTAAATACATTGAAAATGGTGACCACATGAACTGTTGACACTTGAATGATTCAGATCTGGTCTGCATGTTTCTTTTAGAAGCAAATTTCTATTTCAATGTGTCGATGATCTCAGAATGTTAAGCCGAGGTGAAAAGAACAACAGAATTATCAAAGCTACACCAAGTTAAAAAAAATCCGAATAATAATAAAAATGCAAAAAATAAATGTAAAGTGTACATAATATCCTACTATGAAATACGCCCAGATCGATTTTAAAACTTCTAAGTTTTGATGCGACTCTAAGAGGCTCATTCTGTGAGAACATGGATGATACAGTTCCGATATAACCTAGCCCAGAAATTCTCAACTAGTTTTGCCCTAATCATCCCTTTCACCACTACTAGAAGATCACCACCCTTCGTTCTCAAACTAGAAAAGTACATACATTTATTTAGATACTTTTTAATGTGTTTTTATAAATTAAACAATAAGAAACATAGAAAATATTGATAACTAACCAAAGCTGGAATAAAAGTTACTTTTTATATTAATAAACTAAAACTAAATACTTAATTGCTAAATAAAAGGCAAGGTATTTTACCCAATAAATTACTTTGGCCTCTGCTTCAGCTAAACGGTAGGTACTAAATTATCGGCTAAACGGGAGGCAATAAATTCATCAGTCTGAGTTGGCTGGTCTTTCGACCTGAGTACCAGCGGCTTGGGAATAAATGGTCAGTTATTGCATTCGGTTGAGTAGTTAGGCCTTCTGCAACCGAATGAGTCTGGCTAGCCTTAACGTAGGAATCTGTATTGCTTTGTTGGGATGTGTAACAGATACGGCAACTGGACTTGGTATTCCTCTTTTTCAAACAAAGATGCTTCAAAGCCAAACGTGAAACAAACAGACAGAGAAAGAGAAATAAACTCCTCAACTGGGTAACACATTTTCCATTAAAAGATTACGCACATTGGAAATGCTAATGAACATAACTATCGGTCGCGTTACCTTGTTTTGTCAAATCGCCTTTGTGGCAAACTATAAAAAGGTCTTTATTAATACGCAGTCGACTCAATCATCATTAGGGGACTAAGAAACATACCATCAGCGGTACACGTTAAAATCACTGAACACCAGTAATTCAATCCCGGTGCATACATCTAGCGGAATGGAAGCTTCCTGGTTTTCCCATGGGTAATGGGAATATGAGCCACTTACCTTTAAAATATGCTCCACCAAGGCATCTATCCTCTTAGGCAGATAGTCCTCGTGTCCCTTGTCACGTTCTAAGTAAAGTAACCTAACCCGTCTTCTGTTAATCAAGTCTGTTTTCCTTCTTCAGAATACCGTCGATAGAACTCAGATTATCAAAATCTGATTCCTTCTTCATTTAACCAATGAAGAACCAAGTTAGCTTCAGATTATCAAAATCTGATTCCTTCTTCATTTAACCAATGAAGAACCAAGTTAGCTTCAATTTAACTTGCTGAATATTATTGTAACTATGCTAGCGCATAAAACCTTCATCTTTTGTAGAGTTCTTATCACAATATCACTAAACAATTTTATGAAAATAATCATGAACTAATGGACTCATTTTGATAATAATTGTGAGAGCTAAAATTTGTTATTTATTTGTTTAGATAGCATAAAATTAAAGTCGAAGACTTATTAATGATAATCAAAATAGCCTTCGGTGAATTTAAATCTGAAATTGCTTGCCGTTTGTAGGCTAGAATACCTTTGTTGGCTAATGGATTGTTTGTCTATGCCCGAACTCTCACAAGCATAACACTATCAATATCTCTTATTGTAAACACGGCCATAATTTAAAATTATTATTTTAAATATTTAAAGGTAATTCAATTTTGAAAAACTAACTTTTAATTTCTTTAGCTTCTTATAAAAATATTTCAATATATTTAATGACTACTTTGTGATCGAAAAGAAATGTAGAAAAATGTATATAATTTTCATACTATGTTCATATAAATTTCCATTCGAAGCTATAATGTTACTATTGTTATTCTTTAAAATTCAACTGTTTTTGTTCGGGTTATTCAAAAATAATCTTAATGATTTACACATACATTGATTTCACCATTCCATGTTTTGGTTTTAATTATAGGTAGCTGATATGGCTGTCGCTGATTTGACCATAACTTCCACCAGGGAAAAAGTTCTGGATTTTTCACTCCCGTTTATGAACACAGGGATCAGTATTCTTTTCAAAAAACCCACTGAGAAAGTCAAGTCTCTTTTCTCCTTTCTTTCTCCTTTTTCAAGTGAAGTATGGATCTATGTAGTGGCTGCCTTTTTGGGTGTAAGCTTTGTGCTGTTTTTAGTAGGAAGGCTCAGTCCATATGAGTGGGAAAACGTCAATCCCTGTCGCCAAGACGAAAGAATTCAAGAGAATAGTTTTAACATACTCAACAGCATGTGGTTCACCATTGCGTCTGTCATGCAGCAAGGCTGTGAAGTGACACCCAGGTTAGGTATTGAATATTATTTATTTTTCTTGATCCTCAACTAAAATTAATTCTCAGATTTCACACTACTCTCGAAAAGTTAGGAAAAAATATTTTTTAGAGCAGAAAGCTTAAACAAACAAGAAAAAATCACTAAACCTTGTGCAAATGTAAACCATTTTTTTATTTTAGTTAAATAATTTATTCAATAATTTGCCTACATTTTGTTTATTATTACCTGTTTTTAACTTCAAAACTAATACCACAAGAATTCCTACTTTAAAATATATTTATTTATTTTAATTCAATTTATAGTTAAAAACAAAAGCCATTTCATGGGCAGACAATTTTAATAAATTCATTCATTCACTAAAATTATTTTTATATATCTGAATTAAAAAAAGAATTATCGGCTCATGTGTGATTTCCCTCACTCAACTCTATTTGAAACAAACGCATTTTGTTTTCTAAAATTACAAGCAAACTGAAGGATTAGCCACGGGAAACCCTCTCAGTCCCATCCTGGCTGATTCTACATGCATTATTATGAATCAAAATTATTTGAAACTTTAAATTTCCTGGTATCTTTTTGCTACGTAGACGATACCTTTTACCCTGTTTGATGATAAAGATGACTTAAATAAAGTTTTTTCAGTAATGAATTATATTGATCCTGCTATTCAGTTCACGTTTGAAATTGAAACATGCAATTCTCTTCCGTTCCACGACACGTTTTTTTGGTTACACATAACACAACCAACTGTCATTTACTGTTAAACCTTCATTGGTTTGCCTTGCACCACTTTTCAAATCGTGTCATCCGATTAAACAAAAGTTAGCTTTATTTTATTCCTTTGTTTTTCCGTGCACTTCAGGTTTGTTCCTCTAAACTGGCTCTTGATCAAGAACTAAATTATTTAAAAGCAGTAGCTATTGACAGGCTTTTATACCCAACATTATTATCAATATCTACATCATTTTGAATCAAAATTGTTTGAAACTTTATCTTCCCGCATGGTTCCGCTACGTACGATACTTTTACTCTGTTTGGAGGTAATAAAGATGATTTAAATAAAGTTCTTTCTACAATGAATTCCATTGATCCTGCTTTTCAGTTCACCTTTGAACTTGAATTCAATTCTCTTCCTTTTTTTCGACATTTGGCCACACGTACACATCCACTTCAGTAACTAAGGTTTTACCGTAAACCTTCATCAGTTTGCCTTCCATCACACTTCAAATCGTGTCATCCGATTAAACAAAAGTTAGCTTCATTTTATTCCTATGTTTTCCGTGCTCTTCAAGTTTGCTCCTCCAAACTATCTCTTGATGAAGAACTAAATTATTTAAAAGCAGTAGCTATTGACAGGGGCTTTTTACCCAACATTATTAATCAAGCAGTTAAAAAATTCTCATCTCAACACATCAAAAGGCACATTCTTGTTTTAGGAGATTATGAAAATTCTGTTGTCATTCCCTTCTTTCCATCAATTAGCTATAAAGTTGCACGTATATTACAAAAATTTAACTTTCGGGTCGATTACTCTCCCATCAATAAAATTCCGAGTTCCATACTCAAGGACTCCATTCCGGATATGAATTCCTACGGTATTTATAGGATTCCTTGCCAGTGTGGTTAATTTACATTGGCCAAACTAAGAGAGCCTTAAAATTTCGCGTCAAGGGAACATGAGGGATATGTTAGAAAAAAGGAAACACAGAAGTCTTTTGTTGCCCAGCATTGCTGGTCCGAAAATCACACTTTCAATTTTTCTGTAGCCAAAATTGTTTAAAAACGTCTTCCATTGGTGAACTGGATTTTATAGAGACATTTTACATCCAAAAAAATCTTTCTGTTATAGGTAACGACCTTAATTCCAATCCGCCTTTGCCTTCAGCCTTTAAAGAAATTATGTTTTAGTTCTGGTTTCATCAACAGAGGGCGCCAGTAGCTTGACGCTTGTCCGCTCTTTCTTATCTTTTCTCATCTAATCACTATATCTTATCTCGTTCATTTGCGCTTTTGCAGCTGAGGATGTCGGTTCGGTGAAACCATCGAAACTAGACCTGTGAAAATTTGAAAATATAACGCTGATTTTTGTTGTTTGACTTCTAAATTAGTACTTGTTCGGCGTGTAATGGTATCATAATTATATTAATATCCTGTTCATCCATATCTTTTTAAATCATGTATTTGTTTTTTTTTCATATATTATTGTGTATTAGAACATGTTTTATTGCAGTCATGTAATTCATAATTCAATTGTTTTATTGCCTGATGTTAAATTACAATTGCTGTTTCATTTTCTTCATGCGTAATTCTAAAAAGTTGCAAATTAATATTTTTTATCAATTTCGTTTTAAAACGGGTGAGTAGCTATAAAAATTAAGAATACGATTTTAGAATATTCTCAAAGCAAGAGATATGAAATGCAGAATAGAAGGAAAATATTAATTATTAATAAATCAACAGATTTATTATTAATTATCATGCTCATAAAACAGCAGAATAATAGATGAAGTCACTGAACAAGATAATCAAGTAGTCATCATATGAGGGCTCTTTTCTTCGAACTTTTTACTTCGTTAGAGCAACACGAATATTCAACGAATTCCTTCTGTATTTTCAAACTCGAGAGAACTCGCTTAATATTTGACCTGTTTATATGTTTGTTAATATAATTTGGAAATCTATTTTGAAAGAAATCAGTAATTTTTAACCTTTACCCACAGGTCTTCTTCGACGAGAACAGTGTCTAGTATTTGGTATTTCTTCACTTTAATTATGATTTCATCGTACACAGCAAATCTTGCGGCATTCCTAACCGTCGAGAAGGTTGTCTACCCCATCGAATCAGCTAAGGATCTCTCTCAACAGACAAAAATCAAGTACGGATGCCTCGCAAGTGGTTCTACTAGAGCCTTCTTTGAGGTAAATGTTTTGATTTCGTATAATTAATTTGCTTCACTCGAATTAACTAGATTAATAACTGGTCATAGATCATTTCTGCTTTCCTTACCAGTGTTCTCTTCACCACGTTTTATGGAGATATAAGAATTTTAATCGGAATTCCCTTTTTTATGGGAATTACGTTCAAAACTTTATATAGGAATGAAATGAAATTTATAGTATTGAAAACACATAAGGTATGAAATTAAGATTTGGCATAAGAGAAAAAATATTGTACTCTTTTATATTAATTTTATCAACTCATTGCGTCTTATTCTCTCGTTAACGAAACATTCTTTCTAGTGAGATATTGATTAAATATGTGATTTCACATTCAGTAAATGATAAACTTTTGAGTAAAAGAAAATAATATAATGACTTGATATGTTTCTTTGAGTAAAAAAGAGAACCTGATGTTACAGGATTTTTCATTATGAAGTAGTTGTTAAAAATTCAGCATAACTTAAGAATATATAAAGCAAAACTTTCCGAGAATATTAAATTGACTATATGAAATTTATTTTGTTAAAATAATATAAGTGAAAATACCAAAAAAATAATAATTAGAGTTCTTTTCCAGTCCTCTTCTATTTCAACGTATGAACGCATGTGGAAGTTCATGCAGAAGCACCCAGAAGTATTAATGGAAAGTAATGAGAAGGGGAAGGAGAAAGTGTATGCAGGAAATTATGCATACCTGATGGAATCGGCTTCTATCCAATTTTTAACTGAGAGGGAATGCAATCTGACACAAATTGGAGGCTTACTTGACCACAAAGGATATGGTATAGCGACCAAAAAAGGTAGGCAGCTTTCCTCGGCTGAATGTAGTCCTAAATGCAGTCAGCATGGAAAACAGGAAATTATAATAATAAAAATACTCTAAATTAAGGTTCACTGTTAAATGTAGTTAAATGAAATTCATTATTTAAGAACTGATAATAGTATTAAAGAAATTTATATGTTTTGGAATTAAAATGAAACTTTCTTCTGATTTTCCATTACTGAAAATTTAATATTATTTCTCAAGGTGTGGTCTATTATTTCTCAAAACTGTGAGTTTTCTTATTTTGTGGACATAAGCAAATTTTATTTTCGGAAGCTCTCTACACGTTCCCAGGGTTAATTTTATATTCAGAAGCTCTCTATACATCATAAGCGTTTCATTTCAGACACTGTGGTATTCAAACTTTATGGCAGTGTGACCCCATAAAAATGCTAACGCCTTCCCAAAACAATATCATGACCCCATTCAGAGCATCGACCCTTAGTTCCATACCATCAATTCAGATTTTTTAGGATATTTACCTTGCTATCTCACTATAAATTTTCGCGATCCCAAATGTGGCCGCGACTCACAGTTTCAGTACCATTGTTATAATCTATAAGTCTCATCAGACGAAAATCAACTGTAAGTATAGTTTAAAGATTATATTACAGAGTTGGTCAATCTATGGTTTTCGAAACATAAGTAGTCTTCGAAGCCTGCTTTTGTGATCGTCCTAGATTTCCAAAAAATATAAATTCAAATTAACTGCCTATGCCATACTACAGTCAAAGTTCTCAGAGTTACGGTAATCGGAAATTACATTGTAATCGTCTATCCCTTTTTCTTCCAAGACTAACATTTTATGAAAGTTATTATCGGTTGTCCTACCTACTACTTCCCATTCTAGTCTTAGCAACAAAAGAGGGATTTGAAGCATTATGCAAAAATAGATAGGCTCATCCATTTCATTAATGCAAGTCCCAGTATATATAAATTTTTAATTAATACGTATCGTATTACCCGAACTCTAATAGCCTTTATAAAGATACGAATAGTAACGTATGCTAATTACTTTTCAAAAGGACAAGAGTAATATGATCCGAAGAATATTCTAATTTATATAAGTGTCTCTAGTTTTAAAAAGTTTGAGAAACGCTCATTTTTTTGCGTATGTGAGTTGCAGAAATTATTCAGATATTTGCTACAAAACCTCAATTATATTAAATGCTTTTGTAATTTAAAGAGCTCAGCGAAGATTTGTCGAGAGTCTTGCTTATGAACATCGAATTAGATGCATTTATTTTTATGACATTTATAGTAATATTATTTCAAACCTAAAAACTGGATTATTAGTATAAAGTGCTAAAATGAAAGGCAGCTTACGATTCATTATATGAGAATTATTTGCTGTTACTAATTTAATCATAGAATCTTTTTATGGTTCATGTACTACTGAGAAGAAATAGTGAAAAGAAATTTACATTATATTACAGAAATATACTTATAAATAAATTTCTGAATTCATGATTAGAAAAATGGAAAGTGGTAAAAAAATGAAATTAACGGTGAATATATACTTTATATATATTTTCGCTGCTAGTTATAATTATTTTGGATTTCCGTTACATATCTAATTCTTCAGTATAACTGTGGTAAAACTTGGTTTGCCACTTCACCTGGCTGAAATATTAATTTCCTTTCTCTATACAGTTTACCAATTTTTGTACATGTGAGTTGATAATTTTAACTCAACAGAAAAAGTTTTTGAACATATTTTTGCATGGTCTTCATTTTTATATATGAGGGATAATTTTATGATGCTTTGCTTAATGTTTTAAAAAATGAAATTTAGTGTAATTTCTTAATATGCGATTTAGTGTTAAAATTAAACTTTGAATCACGCATTTATATCTGAATTTATCAAATTAATAAACTTCCACATTTTAAGCGCAGATGCATATTTTATGTTTAGTAAAAATGATTTAAAACTTTCGTAGTTTTCAAATTTTATGAAAGAAAATTAATTAATGTCTTTTCAAGATCTTATAATCTTTATAAAGACAGTAAGTTGATTATGGCAAAACTGTAAGTGAATCTCCAAAATAATATACTTAAAAATTTTTTACGAGATACCTCTATCTTAGAAATAGAAAATATGCGAAAAAGGATTTTCTTTAAAAAAATTAATGAATATTTAAAAAAAAAATGCTTGTATTTAAGAAAATTTAATAAAATCTGCCTTTTAGTAAAGAGTATTATGAAGAATGTTTGTAGAAAACTGTCTAACAGTTATGCTTTTGTTAAATAAGTGATTGTTTTTTACTTCACTTATTCCCATTTTTCTATCATTTCATTTAGGTAATAAGTCATTGAGCGACTGGTTGACCGGAGGTATCCTAAAATTGCAGGAGAGTGGTGTCCTACACACCCTTAAAGAGCGTTGGTGGAAGCAAAAACGAGGAGGTGGGCAGTGTGTTGAGGTACAATCTGGCACCGTCCGTGAACTTGGTCTTCGGAATGTAGGCGGCGTTTTCGTAGTCTTGCTTATTGGTATTTTACTTGCAGCAGCAGTCGCAAGCCTCGAATTTCTTTGGACATACAGAAAGTACACTGCATCTCAGGTATGTATGAATAAGACGCCGGAAATGTTTAAAATGGGGAAAAGTTTTGAATTAACGTGACCAATTTTGGGTTACAAAGGCGTGCAAAAAATTAACATGGGCTGCATTATTGACATTAAAATAACATTTTAATTTTATTAGTAAGACTTGATGACGAAGCAGTCGCAAATAAAATAAATAAAATCAGAAGTCTTTTTTTGAATTCTCGAGTTTAATCTCATACCTAATGATTTTCCAGGCACTTAATCGCATTATTAACGGTTGCTTCTTTCTTTGATATTTTCCCTTACTTCTTTTCCTTTTTGGGGTATAAATATTTGTAGAGATATTTCATTTTTATAAAATTAATTTACTGCAATTATATAATATATAGTACGGTTTTTAAAAGAATAAAAAGGATTAATTTTTATAAAACATGTATCTTTTTCTTACTGTATTGATTATATTTTTGCTTATATCTTCGTGTTTCATTTTCGCACCGATTCCATGACAGCTGTTTGACAACTGCTTCACCTCATTGTAGTAAATACTCACTCACCTGTACTCACTTTCAGTTTGTTTAAGCAATGCAAAAACTCGGTGATTCAGAGGCTCGTCCGTGGATAAAGTGTATTGCTTTAGTTATTGTTTCAATAAGCTTATCCATCGGCACACATTTGGCACGTATTAACAACAAATGCACAAATAGAATGCATTCACGGGCCTCATAAAATGCCTTTGGTGGGTTGAAACCACTTATAGGGTCACTCCTTTTCCTGATGGGCTTGTTCCTTACCTTGACTACATTCTAAGCATAGGAACTGCATTAAAAGCTGTTTTTAAAAGTCTGTTGTAAATGTCAGCAGCTGCGGATTGAGCACGAAGAAGCTAAAATATAAAGCAGAATGTGTTTCGAGAAATTTTGTATTTTTGAAGTGCAACAAAGCAGTTAATCTTTCACAATGTCTTTCTAGAAACAAAAATGATGATATATATGTTTTAAAATACGGGGACATTATTTGGTAATCACAAAATTACAAAGCTCTATAGTTAATACAATGATAGTCTAAACAAATTTAATCTTAATCTTATGTATTTACTTAATTGAAACACAATATGTCATTAAAAGCAACAAGAATAGCTCTTATACTATGAATGAAAATGCTTCTTCTGGAAAATGTGACATGACAAAGAATAACTAATTTCCTATCTGGAAATAGTCTGTCATGCTATTTTATGAAGCACATAGAAAATGTTTCCTCCGGCGACTTTTTTATTGTTGACAATCGTAATTTTTCAACATCGCTCATTAATTCTAGCAAATTCTTATAAGATTCTAATTTACGATTTTGATCTTTTGATTTGTACTTTCTTCTTATTGCAGGAAGATATTGGAAAACTGATGATGAAAGATATCAAATTTGCTATCACCTGTAGCAGTTCCGTTAAAGAAGCCCCTAGATATAAAAGGAAGAGATTTGAAAATAGTCGGTCTACGATGTCTGACGTCACAGAAGTGAAATCTGGATATTCCGATTTATCTACAAAATGATGTCACTCAAGTATCAGATATCATGAATTTTGGGTCCATTATTATACAAAATAATATTTATTATAAATATAGCGCACACAATTTTTTTAAAGAAAATGTTAAATTGAGCATGAAGCAATGGAATTTAGCACTTGTATGAAATATTTCCCTTTTCTAGAGCATTAAAACTGTTTTTAGTTTATATAGAGAAGAGAAATTTTGTCGTTCTATTTTAATAAAATAATCATATTTTCAGTTGTTTTTATATTACTTCCTGCAAGAATGTTGTGGAAAAGCTTTCTTTGAAACTTTGAAAAAAAATAAATATATAAAATAACATTATTATGTAAAATAACATCAAAATATTCTAAATTAAAATTAACGAGATTTTTGTCTCTTGTTATGTATTAGCTTATAATTTAAGATATTTTACTTCCTTACTTTCATTAATAATATAAATGCCATCTTGATGAATGCAAGTTTATGAAAATAGAGACTAAAATAGGTAAATAAATATACACATTTAGTTAAAAAAGGCTCTTTAAATATAGGCCTTTCCATGACAGATACAAAAACTGGGCCGCTTTCAGGGTTAATCCCGTTTTAAACACAATTATTTGAAGTTCATCCAAGGATTACTGTACGTCTAAGCATTAAATACTATCTTAAGAACTATTATACTAAATATTATTCTAATATCAGTAGTTTAATCCATTCAGAAACAAAATGGCTCCTTGGAAATATAATTATCGAAAACTTACTTATTATATGAGGAGTTAGAAAGATTTTAAACATGCTATTTTCTAAAGTAAAAGTCCATTTTAATTGAGAAGATGATTACTTTTCTTTTTCTCCCTTACCAGTTCTTTGCACATGAAAAATAAGGTTTTGAGTTTCAACTAAAATTGTTTCATTTAGATGAAGATTATCATTCAATTTCTGAAGCTACAACGTATATACTTGGATATAAATACTTCGAGATATACTACACACACATATGACATAAGATAACTTAGAGAGCAACCTGGAGTGAACAATAAATTCAAGCTCACCTTCAGTAAATCATCAAGTTGCAAACATGATCTGAAATTAGCGGCCAAACATTGGAACAATTTTTAACGATGAGAAATATTTACTCATATATACATAGATTAAATAAAAAAAAGTTACAAAATGTGTCAGTTGTGAAAAAACTTTGTGACAATAGATATGCAAATTTACAATCCCTTAAGATAATCGTCTGCTATGTCTACCATTTTCTGCTAAAGGCGTTCCCCACCAACACGTCCTGTTTTGTTAACACCCCCCAGTAATTTATAGCATGGGTAGGTTCTTCTTTGTTAGCAAAAATAAGTTATTATTTAGTGAACAAATCAAAACAGTAACAAGATATGTCCTTTTTCTTACTTCATGAACTTTTATCAATTAGTTAGTTGAATGGCTCGACATTTAGTAGATATGTAATCTTTGTTTTGTCGTTAAAGGACGGACTGAAGAAGCAAATCATGCAGTTCAAATCAGTATAAGGGTAAAAAAAATAAAAAATCATAATAAAAAAATCTGAAAGTATTCAGACTTTACATTACGCCCAAAGAATTTTTTTAACCTTTTATGGGTTACTTTTATTTATTAAATATCATGCTCTTTGCAGTTAAGCCATAAAATTCAATTCAACAGCAATATCGCAAAATAATTTTAAAATGAGCATATCTTTAGAATTTCTGAGATTTCTCGTGCGCTAGAGATAAAAATGTTTTTTTTTTTTTTTTTCGCCCAGTTTTGTCATTGTTCGCTTTCAAATCGGTGAAATTTTAATAAAAAATTCGTTGAAATGTTACAAAACATGAAATCGATAATAAAACAAATTTAAAATTCCAAATTAGGGCTTCCAGATGCCCATATTCGGTGGAAGATTACGTTATTCAAAATTTGATGGCTCTAGGTACCATTGTTTTATCACAGTGCGTGAAACATGCATCCATTCATTTATGCAGATTTCTATTTAATTTTTTTAAATATGACACAGGGCAATAATATTTGATGGCAACAATTTGAAAAGTGAACCGACATTCAGAGTTTTCAACGCAAAATGCCAAAACGAAATTAATAACCCTTCTGGGCTAACGCCCTTTGGACTAAAATAAAGATCCCTCACAGAAGGTTGGCAAAGAGATCGGACTCATGGGGGGAATTCTAACACCTTTCTTCGATACCTTTGCAGGAGATCAGTGATATCATTCACTTTATGACACCTTCCATTATTATTGAGGATGAGAGGCTTCGTCACCAACAAGTATGGTGTCGTTCTCCCGAGTGCTCAGTGGACATTATGTGTCAGGCGAAGTATGCATTCTATCATCTTCCATGACAATGCGCTGTGTCATAATGCGTGCCCTATCACTGGTCCTCTTAGACGGTGGCTATGAGAGGTATTGGAATTTTTCTCATATTTATCAGACATTAGTCTCTTCCATTATAATCTCTTCACCAAACTGATAGAACCGTTGCATGGAATCTGTTAAAACAGCATAGAAAAAGCTAAGGTGCTGCAAGGGTGATCACTGTGGGATATCAACAAAAGTAGACAGGCGTCACCTTCCAGTAATTTGGCAAATCATGATAGACACAACACATTGTATGAAATGTTAAATTTTTGTACCTACGATAATAAAGTTCTTCTAGAACCGTCGGGGGGCATATTGCCACTATTTTTTATCTCATCTTGAACATTCGATTTACAAACTAAGAAAATTATCGGAGACAAAGACATCTGATTTGGCAGTACATCGTATTTTTAGGTAACCCTGGAAATCATGGCTGAGACAGAGGTCAGGGAATGAGGTATTTGCTTTAGATGAAACAACTTGGAGGAATGCCAAATTCAGTTACAAAAAGTTAGAAATTCGCTTAAGAAGTTATATATGTTAATTTTTAACTTAAAAACGCACCAATAAGAGCATAAAGTGCCAAAACTGATAAGAACTATTTAACATAAATTAAAATGTTGCATTCTTGGCAGTGTATTTACTTACCGCCATTGTAAGGCCGATTGTCTGTTTGTACTAATCATGCTGCCTGGTCATCTGCTTGTTTCAAGCTCCGTTTAAATTTGATTCCAGTAGTGCCTACATAATAAATAATAAAATTATTTAAACATAAATAAATTGATTTACGTTATTACCTTCCCTAATAAATATTTCACGCAACAGCCATTAGCTTTGTTTTGACACATTGTTACGGTATATTTCCTTATTTCCCAAAAGGGTTAAAGAAATTCTTTTTCGTTGACAACTCAACTAAATTAAGAATAGCCTAATTAATATTACCAACTGATTATCAAAAGCTCTGCACTTTATTTTCAAAGTACTATGTGCATTGGTTTCTAATATAAGGTTTTATTACTGAAATTAGTTTTAAATTTGATTTAAGTTTAGAATGATTTACTTCGTAAATAGATGTACTAAATGCTATGCCATCAATATCAATGATTATATGTCTTTCAGTGGCACACCAGTGGCCGAGCGGATAAGACTTCAAAAAACTGTTAGTTCAATCCGAGTCGAATATTAACAAAATTTTGGCTACGTGGACGTTTTTGTGTTTCTTTAACATGAACAGAAGCCGGTTCACTTTCGAAAATCATCCACGAAGACATGGCTTTCCTTAAATAGATAGTCTTTATGTGCTAAATCAAATTAGATGGTCTGTCTTCCCATGGTCCAAGAAACATTCCAGAGACAAACAATAGCTAAACATTCCAGAGACAAACATTCCAGAGACAAACAATAGCTAAACATGCACTGCTCAATGGTTGCCTAAAGTTTTTTTCGAAAGATTTAAGTCATAAAAAACTCTAGAATGATACTGGGACATTAAACACAGGTGTTCAAAAAACGAATGAATTCCGTATCAATTTTTTTCCCACATTTCAAATAAAATTTGCCGTAGAACGAGATGCATACTTTCCTTCAGTTGTATATGTCTAATTTTTATTAAGAACTATAATCATTTACGATTATTGTTTTAATATTTATAATTATTGATGGACAAAATTAGACAAATAAATACCCTCGTTTCTTTTTATATCAAAAACAGAATCAAAGGTGTTAGATACGACATGCCATAGTTTCGTTATTATTTCATTATTAAAAGGAAAAAAATAAAATAAAATTTTCAGTTTCGAAGAAATAAAAGTTTTAAAATTAGTAACGAAAGAATTAAATTTTTAGTATAGCTGCTATAAAAATGTATAAACTTTTATAAAAATGTGAGTTTGCTCTAATTTTAAGATAACTGTTACGAAAGGACTAATTTTATAATTTTGATTCGCTGATTCAATGCCAACTGATTTAAAAAATATAATTAACAAAATCTGATTTCGTTAGTAAATTTTATGATAAGAGTTTAGGCAAGGTTAAAAAAATTAGAGCGATAAAGCTGTTGCTTCAGAAAACTGAAACCGAATTAAATAAATTGGAGCAGAATATGGCTATGTTGCATAATATTGCGATTAATCTTTTGGGGAAAAATTATTAGCTACTTATAAAACATGTAACATTTAATATATTTAAGCCATCTGGGCTAATCGATCATGGAGAACAGAAATCCGGTATGAAGCATTAAATTAGGTAAACTGCATTTTAAACATATTGTTTAACAGTTGCGATCGACCTGTTGGCCACATATGAATTAGATGTACCTCAAACGTAAATTCTGCTCAAACTCAAATAAGCCTTTCTTCTAAAAAATGTCCGAATAAAAATGATAGAAGAATAAACGATGATGTCAACACATTCATAATTAGTTAATCGATTAAAGAAATGTTTGTGCGAGTCTAGGACGAATGCTTTCGGGAGGACATCATTAAAGAAACTAGTTCGTATTTACGTCACAATACGGAGAAAATCTCGCGAAGATAGTTCGTTTATCTTGAAACGAAACTCAGCAAAGTTCAACAATCTTAAGGATTCTGCTACTAGCTCGGAAAAAAATTTAATGACGGAAACCAAAAGCGTAAAACGTATCAGTTAGTTTGTAGGGATTTATATTTATTTTAAATAGCCAGTTACGTTTGTTTTTACTTTCTTTCTTACAGGCCTTCATTCGCCTGATTATCAATGCCAGAATATTTAAATTTGGTAGCGCGCGTGAAGTAATGCAAATTCTACCTTGAGGAGGAAAGGTTTAAATACTGAGTCCTAGAATGGACACTTAGGCAGTTTGGGCAAGAGCTGTACTTTGGTAGCATGAACTTC